ACACTGCACTTTATTGCTTTTTTGGTAACCCCACCTCATACAAATCAACTATCATAATACTTGCACATTCATAGCTCAATGACCGTGTTCTTGCTTCCTTTTCTTCCCTTGCCAAAATGAACTAGATTGAACTTTCTACCCTCGTATGCTCTGCTCTTCTTCTTATACACTTAATGCATGTGATGGATTATGTATCCTCATGTCTTATGCCTGTTAGCAAGGTAATATCAAGGGAAGACAACTTTTTTATCAGTTATAGTCACATTGACCATGGCGTAATGTTTTATTCCTGCTCTGTGTTGATTTTTGTGGTAACATGTTACTCTTGCTGTTTTCCCCATATCTGATCAGGTCAAGGACGAGCTTCGGAATGAAACTATGCAGCTTGCTAGTAAGTTATAGATTGTTCTTTGCCTTATTGTACATAATGCTTTATCGACTAGTATTGTAAATAGTTTTATGGTGAACTCTTTTATATAGGGGAGAATTTAGAAAAAGAACCTCGGATAATGGAGCTCAGGAATCAGGTCAGATACTTCACATTGTTTCTAGGGTATTGACTTCTTTTTCAAAAGCATTTTGAACCTTTCAGCATCAAAGCACTGATAGTGGAAATTTCTTCCATGTACCCTCCATTATTTTGTTTACAGTGTAGAATCATCCGCACAACTGAATTGGCTGCTGCTCAAGAAAAGCTGCATGAGCTAGAAAGGAGAAAAGAAGAGCTTCTGAAGTTGTACTCCCCTTTATCTCTCCTCCATCACCTACAAGGTAAACAGTGGAAGCACATAAACTTGTATACTTTTTTCCTTCTTTTAGATTCTTAGTTATTCTTTTTGCATGGGTAAAATGATTTGAACTACTCTTAGATTAACAGGGCTATAGAAAACTTTTAGGGTACTATTCTCATGAGGCTTTCACTTCAACACGTTGAGTGAGAACAGCCCAGTAGGAGTCAAGTCAGCATTTAAATTAGACTGGTCGAAAGAAACTTTTCAGGTCTAGACATAGTAAGAGCTTAACATAGAGAGTAGAGCTTGACATAGAGAGTGCTTTGTTGACTTGGTTATGTTGCATGATATATCTGAAATTGCGTAATGTTCTTCAAATCCTCTAGGGCTTTATGCTAGAGCTCCACAGAATGGTCATAATTCAAGTGCAAGTACGTTTTGTATTTCTTCATAACCGCTTCATATGCCAGTCTTTATCTTTAATTAAAACAAAGAATCATGGGAGATCAGGGTTAAAATCTCTGGAGAGACAAGAAACACTAGGTAATTTTTCCTATCTGTCTAAGCCTTGGTAGACAAAGTTTTAACTGGTGTCTGGTGGGAGATAGCAGGTCGAGGTGTGCGCAAGCTGGCCCGAACACCACCTTTATAAAAAAGAAATATCCAAATTGGATTATAACAATATGCACAAACAAGAGCAGTATATGTCACTAATGCATTATTACTATTCATAATGCTTAACTTTTAAGGTGCATTCTTCATTGGTGTCCTCTTGATCTACTTTGACGATATGCTTATTTTCCTCAACTTCTTGCAAAAACATTAGTTTCTCTCGATCAGTTTTCGCTCTACTCCAATATTCAAATACTTTTTAGATTAGTACACTCTACAAAAAATTTCATTATGTCCTAATGAAATTCCATCCATATGAATGTTATCATCAGATTGTGTCCGAGTATTCTGCTTGGTTCAACTTTTGTTTTTTTCAACTTTTTTTTCTTCCTTTTCTACACCTCAATGCTATCCGTTCTTCATCAGGAGCTCAGTTCAACTCTTTTTTCTTTCTTTTTGGGCAAAGCACTTCAACTGTTAAAATGGGCCTACATTTGCCAGCTCCAAATAGCTTTGAAATTTTTGCGATGGCGGTTTAGAGACCTAAATTGTCCTATCAGTGATGATTTAAGCTGCTAGTGAAGGGTGACTGAATCAAAATTGCTAACATTCTTTTTGATATAGTTCAAAATTGCTAACATTCTTTTGCATGCTCAAGCTGACATCACCTGGAAAAGGATGGGTAGATACGAACACCCTATATAACACTCAGATGTATTAAGGATCATCTTAAGATTATTGGGTTTTAATTTGGCAATGAAACTTTTCCTCACTTCTTGCAGAAGTTCCATGTAATGTGAGCAACTATATGTAAGATCAGGAATTTTAGCTTAATAGCTTATGCTCAATTTAGTTTCACATTGTTACTTTGTTCTCGGTGGTGGTGTTATGTTGGGGGGTAAGTGTTGGGGAAAGGGATTGATTTGTAGATCAACCAAGAATTTCCAATTTGAAGTGTCTATTAGATGCCTCTTTTCCACCACACAACTTCCTAAATGATTATGTGAATAAAAAGCTGGATTATAGTAATTAAGGATCTCCGGTTATTCAGTGATCATGTCATTTTTTCTTTTGACTAAATTTTTTGTAATTAATACCATTTTTGAGATACAAAATTGAAATTGCCCTTGGAATTTTGGAGAGATGATTAAGCATGGATTTTTAATGGGATTAGATAGCTGAAAAATCAGACTTGCCAGAAAAAGAAGACTGCTAACTGATGTTGCTATTGATACAGATGCCATGAAGAAAACAGAGGAGGAATCTGAAACAATGCTTGGCCAGCTTCTTGATCGAGAAATTGATCTTACAACATTTGTGCAGAAGTACAAAAAACTGGGATGCAGTTACCACAGACGTTCCCTCACACATCTTGCTGCTAAGTCATCTTTTGCTACTTGAATGATTTGATGTATGGATATTATAGCTTTGGCAGCTCGTTACTGAAACCATAGAGTGTAAATATTCTCCAGATGTAATTTTGGGATCAACTTCAGGTTCACTGCAACTTTCTACAGGGACAAATTGAACTAATTGTTGTTGAAATATCAGTCACTTATCATCCTTGCGCACACAGACGGGCTTTTGTATGCCAATTCCTCAGGCCTCATCTGGCTGAATTATCCTTGTAGGGAAAGAGGAAGAGATATGGCTTAATGTTCACCTCAGTTCAGAGGCATGAAATTTGTTGTTACAATTGCATTTTTAACCATGGATTGTTACTCGTTTTGATTCTTATGAAAGTTACTACTGAAGGTGCATGCCTTTTCGTTTTTACCACCTTTACCAGTGAACAATGTTCCATGGATTAGAGAAATGATATGACAACTCGCATTTCTCCCCCACCTTCACCTTCACCCTCACTTCTGATTGTATACAGTATACACCTCTCTAAACTGATTAGAAGTATTTCTAGTTCTAGCAAATACTTCATGTAAATGTACAGTCATGACTAGTTTAAGCCCAATTGCTTCATATCGCCCACTATTTTCATTTCTAATGTTTTTATCAAAGTTAACATGAATTTTGAGAGACTGCATGTCTTCCCACACAACCTGTTTCATTTGATTTTAAGTCTAGCTAGTCTTGTTCTAACACCTTCAATTATCATGGTGCACATATATAACACGTTTATAAGCTTACCTTCAATCTGAACTCTGAAGTGATAATTTCTAATCAGGAAAAGGGTCAAATATACCCCTTTACTTTAGTATACTGTTCACATCTACCCTCCGTTATACTATTTGGCCACATCTATCCTTACAGTTAGCCAAACTTTTTAAAAATACCCTCCACCTAGCAGAAAGCCACCAAACTAAAAAGACTTGTTTTTTTTTTTAAAAACCCATTAATAACTCGTTAAAACCCTTTTATTTACTGCACTTTTTTCTCACAGATTAGTCATCTCCTTCGTAGTCACTTGTTGAACTCAAAAAGTGAAAGACATAAAAATACCGACAACCATATATTCATTTATATATTTAGTCCCAATTCTTTTAATATCCTTATTGTATGTATATTATATTCTACATTTTCTAATTTCTCTTTTCTTCTTCTAGCTTTTCTCTTAATTTTTTTCCACAATGTCAAACTGTACCGAGCATTCACCATAATTTTCTTTCCACCATGATTTGAATGTTTATAGCATCTTATTAGGTTGACAGTTCTGAAGTCTTAAGCCATCTACCGGGGTATTTCTTCCTCCAATAGTGAGCCTTTGTTGATGAGTATTTACGCACCATGATTTTCTTATTCTACTTTTAGCATTTGGGCAACGAGTAATTATCGCCAAATCACTCCTTAAGAACCAAAGTTAGATTCCAAGCTATGGGATGTGATACTCATCATTCTTAGTAACAACTGAACTTATAATGAATAAAAGTTAGCAAATAATTAGAGGAGATTCAATTTAATATCAAGCTACAGTCTAAGGAATTCATCAATAATGAAAAAAAGTATACCAACAAGCTGGGAAAGTAACTTAACAATGTAAGTACACTAACTTCATGTATTAACCAAACACAAGTATTGTTAAAGTAAACATACAAACTAACTATCAAGTGTGCATTACATTAGACAAAGGGATGCTATATTATAACCACACAAAAAATCAAAAGTGATAACGTGACATCCTAATGCCACCATGAACAACTAAGAACCAAAAATATAAGTTTTTACTAATTTTACTGCCACCATCATTCTCAGTCTCTCTAAATGAATAAAATGTGTTAAGACGTCTCAGAAATTTAGATTCCGTATTTTTATATGACGGGTTTCATGGTTTGTGGGTTAAGGTATTTTTTTAAAAATATATATTTTTTAATTTGGTGGCATTCCGTTAGGTGGAGGGTATTTTTAAAAAATTTAGCTAACGGTAAGGGTAGATATGGCCCAATAGTACAGCGGAGGGTAGATCCCTTTTCCCTTTCTAATCTCAGCTAACGTCGCCATGGCTACGCATCGATTTTAACATAGTGCATTACTGCGGTGAATCTATCTTATCAACTACATTTTTGTTCAGTCATCCTGTGAATATATTGGGGCTTTTAAAACCCAACTTTATAAGCTTTATGGGTTTCTCATTGTATTATCAAAAAGTAATGACCATCCAAGTACAAAGCTAAGTGGTTAAGGACAAGGAGTTAGAGCCAACGAAAAGGAGCTCAAATCACCTGGCACTGCACAGAAACGTCCAAAGAGAAACAAAATAACAGCTATTCCTTTCCTACAGTTTTTCAAACTTCTGCTGTTGTATCGAGTAGAGCGAGATGCCATAGGAATGTTATTGTTAAACCTTTGATCAAACTTCTAAGCCAGAGACTACAGAGGCTACCCCAGAAAGTCAACAAACTGAGAACCCTCAATTCTCATAACACTGGACTAGGAGCTAGAAAGGAGAACAAGAAGCAAGAACACAAGAAACCACCCTTGTACATAGAAGTTTCACTTTCAAGTATAGACTACACCAGCAACAAGACACAGACAATTTTCAGCTCCCTGCACTTTCCTCTTTCAGTCTGTCAATTTCCTTCTCCCACTTGAGTCCAAACATTTCGCGGCCAAAGGGGACAATAAGGTTGTATCGGAAAACCTGCACCAACGCCCATGTATTAGTCCTTGCAAGTATAGCAGCTCTAATTTACTACGCTAAATCTCAACAATTCTAAAATGAGCCAGCCGAACAATTTTCTAGACGAATTTGAAAAATATGTTTTCCGGAACCAACACAAGTTGGTTTTGAGAAACAAAACCACGACCAAAGAGCAGCTCAAGGTCCAGCAGCTTTGGCTGAAACAAAGGGCCAGTGTCAGAAGTAACCAACAATTCTTTTCGCCTTTAAACCGTTTCCTTTTCTTTCCATTATAATGAAACACGTTTAGTAGCATTTAAATGTCTTAAGACAGTTTTGATCTATTAAGTTTCACCTATATGAAAGTGACTAATAAAGTTTTAAGCTTTGTTGAAATGTGTGGTCATCTCATCTAAAAACTTGCGTTAGAGAGAGCACATTTTAATTTACTTAATTAAACCTTCAAAACACCCCTTCATGTGCAGGCCTGATTCTTTTTCTGTTTTGATAATAGGTGGCGATGAGACTTGAACCAAAAGACTTCTGCCTACTCTGATACTACGTCGAACTGTGTGACTATCTCATGTAAAAGCTTAAGTTGTTAGAGAGAGCATACTTTTATTTACTTAATTATGTCTTTAACAGGTTTAAGTGATGTTTTTTCAACACAACTGATTTGCTAACTAAACTAAATCCAAATCTGTAGGTTGTTTTCAAAAATCAAACCCAAAAAACTAGAGATCCCTAAACCAAAACCAAAAACCAAATTGTTTTTCTCAACAAAACATTTAGAAAGATATAGCTGCAAAAATCATCCTAGGGGATAAAATTGAAGAAAGGTTCGTACACATATGCAATATATCTGCATGGATCGTTATCTCATTTTTCCAAAACCTTCTACTTAGTTGTCGAAGGACAGTAAACAGTTCATCTCATGTATCCAGCTAGGTGACCATCCCTCAACCAGAAAACCTGAAGAGAGTTCTTTTTCTAAATGGGCATGGCTGTTATGAATCTTTAGTGACGTTGTCCATCAAAGCTTAACAAATTTTGACACTAGTACCCTAGCTCAACCATCTCGCATAACAGGGTATAAAATCTGATAAAGCATCAAATATGGAAAATCCAGATGCATCTATGTGCACGCAGAAAATACCGGACATACTTTGACAATAACAACGGGGTAAAGGAGTAGCAGTTCACCATACACGGAATAGGGGAAAAAAGAACCTAAAAGCTAATTGAAAAGTAAATCATTTCCTCACTCTGCTCACCTTGTTATTGATGTCACGCATCTGCAGCTTTAGAGACTCGGATGCCTCGATCCATTTAGAATCACCGACAGAGTCTTTATGTGTCCATGCCTTTTTAAGTGCTGATCTCCAATCAACTACATTACTTCTTATTTCTTTGTTCAATTCAACCCACTCAGGTGCACATTTATTTCTGGAGAGAATCCTATACAAGGTATCTTCAGCTGGATCAGCATGAGGATTAGTATTGAGGTCCAAGGGTTTCCCCTTCCCTGGCAAGTTCTCAAATTGCCCTTCTTCCATGGAATGCCAAATTCGTTGTTCAACAACATTTATGATGTCAGTTTCCGACCTGACCAATATTCATTAAAGATTAAAAACCACCCCCCCCCCCCCCACCCCCCCCACCCCCCCAAAAAAAAAAATGTACGATTGTCTTTTAACACTCAGGATAAATCAGAATCCTATTAACCACAAATGCAGATGCTCCAGCCAAAAACAGCAATAGTAACTAAGCGAAAGCTAGAGAATCATGCAACATACTTCCATGAATTGAAAGAACATTCGTCTGACTATTGTTTCAAGACAAATGAAGTTACATACTAAGAACATATTGATTCTGGATAGAGAACTCCATTCAATTATGGCAAACACCAGTCATGACACTAAGATGACAAGTTCTCCTCTTTTTAACAAACAGAGGTGGAAAGTATTCTAAGGAGGCACTCCATTTAACACTCAACATCACTGATTTTTTTTGTAATAGCAATTCATGCGCAAAATTCAACACATTACCTTAGCAGCCGAATTAACACATTATCATATCCTCAAATACTAGGTGACGGAAACTATAATTTGGAACACAAACGAGCCAGTAGAAATGAATTCACTTACTACACAAAGCAATATTTCAATTGCCATTTTTCTACGTAGAATACGTGAGTGAATACGAAAGTAAGTAAAAATATTATCTAACGGAGTTACGTTGACCACGAAGTTCGGGCGGAAGCTTACGGTCGTTGACGGAGTCGATAACACCGGAGAAACGATCGGTGATTTTCTTAGTAGGCTTAGGATATTCACTCTCAGAAGAGGAAGAATAAGATGAACATCGTGACTTAAACGCGCCATGACTGAAGGTTTCAATTCCGGCGGCCGATCTAAGAGCGACTGAGGACGATAAAGCTCCGATCGATCTCGCGAAACGAGCTGCCATGGCGGTGGAGGGAAAATCCCCCCCTCAGACTGTTTGGGCTAATTGGGCTTGGGCCTCAGGGGTCCAATGATTTTGACAATTCTTTGTTATGCGGCCGACTCAAAATATTTGCTATACGTGGCCTATTATGTATCACTAAACGAAACTCAGTTATAATTGGACCTTTTCCCGGTCTAATTCTTCAAGGAATTTTTACATTCCTATATATTATTTCAAATTTTATTACCTTCCCTATTCAAGTTTTAATCTAATTACATAATATATATAAAATTATCAATTATGTACATTTTTAGGCATTTAATGATAATAATTAAATCCTAAAATCACTCTAACGTCTATATCCCACTCCACCAACGTTTCTCTCTTCATCCCCCCCCCCCCCA